GCTCGGAAGTGTGTATGTCTTTTCTCGGCGAGGACCTTCGAGGAGCATCCTTGATCATTGGGCGAGAAAAAAAAAAACACGCACGACACTGAAAAAAAACACAGGAAGTGGACGTCCGAGCGACGCCATCTTAACTCGGGGGAGCGTAAGACCCGGGTTTGCCAGGACTCGGGTTCGCCATCGTTTTTTGACGACCGCGCCTCGGATTTTGACGAGGAGGAGTTTCGTGGGATGTCTGCAGCGGGAGGCCTCGTCAAAATGCAGGCTCGTCCTCGTCATTTTTTTGACGACCTCGTCGGGGATTTCCGAGTCCCCCGTACCCGGGTCTTACGTCTCCCCGATTAACCATGCAGACATTGCAGCCCTGGGCTGTTCGCAGCGCTACTCCTGTGATCTCTCACGCCACGCCACCTGACCCTGGGGAGAGACGCCGCGCAAGCCCAGCTGACTGCACCTCCTCCTCTTCCTCCGCCTCCTCGTCCTCCTTCTTCCCCTCCTCCCCCTCCTCCTCCTCCTTCTCCCCCTCCTCCTCCTCCTCCTCCTCCTCCTCCTCCTCCTCCTCATCATCATCATCATCATCATCATCCTCATCCTCATCCTCATCCTCATCCTCATCCTCTCTCTCCTCCTCCTCCTCCTCTCTCTCCTCCTCCTCCTCCTCCTCCTCCTCCTCCTCCTCCTCCTCCTCCTCCTCCTCCTCCTCCTCCTCCTCCTCCTCCTCCTCCTCCTCCCTCCTCCTCCTCCTCCTCCTCCTCCTCCTCCTCCTCCTTCCTCCTCCTCCTCCTCCGACACACATTAAAAATGATACCTTCGTTTCCCGTGAGACATACAACAATTGGAATTGAACACGTAATTGAAAGAACGGGTAGATCCCAGAGCCCAGCAGGATCCCCCAGGAACCCCGAGGACACCGCAGGGCCCACCAGGAACCCACAGGACCCTGCAGGACTCCAGGAAACCCAGCACCCCCCTGGACCCCCCTGGACCCCCCAGGACCCCGCAGGACCCCCCGGGGCCCCACAGGACCCCCCAGGACCTTCCAGAGCCTCCCCAGACTCCCCAGGACCCCTCAGGATCCCCCAAGGCCCCGCAAGACCCGCAGGCCCCCACAGGACCCCCCTCCCCCGACTCACCGCACGGCGTTGGTCACCACCCCGTTTTGGGGGCCCCCGAAGACTCCTGGCAGCAGCTCCTCCTCCTCCTCCTCCTCCTCCTCCTCCTCCTCCTCCTCCTCCTCCTCCTCCTCCTCCTCCTCTTCTTCCGCGTCGGCGGGCCGAGCAGCGCCGGCACCGCGCGGCGCAGCCCCGTGGGGTCTGTTGTGCAGAGCGCGGCAAGGGCCCAGAGGTCACGCTGCATCTTGCGGGGGTCTCGCCCGGCCCCCCCACAGGGCGGCGCCTCCTCTCTCGTGCCCCGACGCGGGCTCGGTGCGGACCTCCGCGCGCACCCGGCGCGGACTCGACGTCCGACGCGTGTGCAGGCCGCGGCCGGGCAGACAGGGCCTGCAACACAGAGCACAGGGCCTCGGGGAGGCCCGAGCTGGAAAGGCCCCGCGGGCCCGCGTGGCGAGGCCGGGAGGCCTCCTCCTCCTCCTCCTCCTCCTCCTCCTCCTCCTCCTCCTCCTCCTCCTCCTCCTCCTCCTCCTCCTCCTCCTCCTCCTCTCGAGGCCCCGCGGGCCGCGTGGCCTCGAGCAGGGCGCTGTCCTGCGCGGCGCGGGCGTGGCCGCACGTCGGGGGCGGCCAAGAGGGCGGTGGTGGCCGGGGGCAGGGCTCGTGTCGGTTCCTCCGATTCCGATTCGATGCGACTTCGATGGCTTCCGGTTCCGATTCGATTCGGCCTGGGGTTTTCCGATCTGGGTTCCGATCTCTGATTGGAGGCACATTAGCCTGCCGATTCCTGCCGATTCGACTTTTCCCGACTCGGCTGCCGATTTCCGCCGATCCGATTCACTTCGATCGCCGACCCCACTTCCCGATTCGAGTCTGGGCTCTCCTGCTAGGGGTGGGGGGGGGGATGCCATGGCGTGGGCCATGATGTTTCTTCGGCTTTCACGGTGCCTCTTCTTGTTGAAGGACGTCCCTGCCCTCCCCCCCTGTGCCGCGCACGCATGCCGCTGGCCATGATCTTCGCCCCCCCCCCCCCCCCTCTTGGACGTCCGCCTCGCGGCCGCCCCCGAGCAGGGAGTCGCTGTGGCCGAGCCAGCGCCGCGCGCAGGACTCGGACAGTTCCGGCCGGCGCGCGGGTCGCGCCGCCGCTGTCTTTTCTCGTGGGGCGGCGGGCTTCCCGCCCTCCTCTCTCGTGGGGTCCGCCCTTCCCGAGATGTCCAGAGGTTCTCGCCACAACTGCGGGCCGAATCGCCGAGCTGGGGTTTCCCCTCGCTCGCTGGTGGCTGGAGCCCCCCCCGGCAAAAGAAACCTCGTTTCCTTCTCCGCATCCACGCTCCCCCTCGTGCTTCCTGCCCCTCCTCCTCCTCCTCCTCCTCCTCCTCCTCCTCCTCCTCCTCCTGTCCCTCCTCCTCCGCCCCCTCCCGGCCAGGCCTTCCTCATGAAGTTTCGGGACGTCGCCAGCAGCCTCTCCGCCCTGCCCGGGGCGGAGCTGCGCGTGGTCGCGGCGCCCGGGAACGGGCGGGGGAGGAGCTCGTGTTCAGTCGGGCCTGTTTTTCTACAGGTCGGGGGTGGACAGACCTCCTACCCTGACACGTCGATTAAGGAATTGGCCGTTTTCGGTTCGCGAGAGGGCGTCGCGGCCGTCATTTTTGCGGGTCCAGGTCCGTCGGTTTCGGTCCCAGGCCGTCTTCACTAAGGGGAGGTCTACTAAAGGGAGGTTTGTCCACCGCCGAACAGGAGGACTACGCAAAAATAGTAAATAACTTGTCTGGGGGCGATTTTTGTTGAGATATGTTCGATCAGTCGGGGGGCATTTGTTGGGTATCTGCTATTTGTCGTCCCAAATCCGCCTGTAGGACTGTAGGAGGACGCCCGACCTAAAGCTCGTCGGGATTCGGTGGAGGAAATGGTACTCGGCCTCCTGAGAGTCCCTCGTCGCCACCGCTGGATTCGCGACGAAATCCTGGTCAGAACGCACTCCAGGAGTTGTCCGGGGAGTAGCGGTATCGGTACGTTTTGCATTCCCAGGGAGGGTAGGCGGGGATGGCCTGGGGGATGCTGTGGGAATGTCAGGGGTTCCTGCCGGATTATTCCCGGAAGCTTGTTTTCCCTGTTCATTAGTTCTTGTTCACGTATTGTTTCATTATTCCCGAACGCTATGTTTTGCTTCAGAAGTCCTGTTTCATGTTTCACGGATGCTGATTTGTCTTGTTTAGCTCCTGCTCAATTCCTGTATCATTCCTCCCGACTGTTCCGCTGTTCTGTTCTGCGAACGCCAATTCGGTTGCCTTGCCCAATGAATGTTTGATTCCCCCTGGCCGCTTCGTTGTCCTGCCTACTATCGGCAGATTCCTATTTCATTTCTCCGAGATGTTGGCTTTCCTGTTTAATTCCTGGCTAAATTCCTCCTGAACGCCTGTTGTTCCTGCTTCGTGCTTGCTTAATTCCCGCGCAAATCCTTCCGAACGCTTGGTTATCTTGTTCAATTCCTGCTTAATGTATTCCCCCCGAGCGCTGGGTTGTCATGCCCAAGTCCTGCTTCATGTCTTTCCGAGCTTTCAGTTATCCTTGCTAATTCTTGCCAGTTTCCTTCGGTATGCTGGGTTTCTCTCATTGATTCCTGCTTCAGTCCTCCCGAACGTTTGGGGTTCGTATGTGATTCTTGCTCAACTGTATTTCGAACGCTTGGTTTTCAGTTTTAAGTCCGAGCCCTTAGTTGTCCTCCCGACTTCCTGTTTTATTCCTTCCGAACGTTGGGGTTTCTTTTTGAATCCCTGCCGAATTCTTCCTGGGCGATATGGTTTCCTGCCTATGTCGTGCTTAATTCGTACCTGAATCCTCCCGGCCGTTTTGCTTCCCGTGCCAAATTCTTCTGTTATTCGTGTTTACTTCCTCCCGAACGCAATGTTTTCCCTGATTCATTCCTGCCACATTCCCCCCGCATGCTTGGTGGTCCTGCTAAATTCTTGTTTAATTCCTCCCGAACGCTGGATCATCTTGTCAGATTCCTGCCGAATTCCTCCTGCTCCCGTGCTTGCCCGGTGTTAAGTCCTGTTTACATCTTGCTTCGTTCATCCCGAACGTTTTGGTTCCCTGCCTAATTCCTGTTCCATTCCATGCGGACGCTGGTTCTCCTGGTAAATTGCTGCCGGAGTCCTGCGTAATGCCTCCCGAGCGCAAGGCTTTCCTGCTTAATTCCGGTATAAAATCTCCTATGCGTTGGGTTATCCGGCTTGGTTCCTGGCGAATTCCTGCCCATTTCCTCATGACAAATTTGCCTTCCTTCCTAACTCCTGCCAGATTCCTTGCCGAACGCCTTGCTTGCCTGAGCAATTATTGTTTCATTCATGCTTAATTCCCACTACACGCATGGTTTTGTTTAATTGTTTGCCGAATTCCTCCTGAACGCTTGGCTTTCGTGTATAGTTCCTGCTTAGTTCCTCCTTGGCGGCCTCCTGGGCAGTCTGGAGGACGTGAAGGTCTTTGGGAGATACTTTGTCGATTGGGGGCCTTCTTGGGCCGTCTCGGGGGCCTCTTGGGGCATCCTTGGCCTGCCTTGGTGCTTTCGGAGGCCTGGGGACCCCCAGGGGGAGATGCGTATCTGAACCCCCACCCCAGGACACCCCCCGAGCCGCCCCCCCTATCCCCCATCGCCCTCCCCAAGGACAACCCCCGACGGGGGAGGGATTAAAGGGAAGGGGCTTTCTTTCGATTCGGTTTACGACAGTGCCAGGCTTTTCCTTGCGGACGGTGCAGGTCAAGGAGACGACGGAGACGACGACTGACGGAGACGATGATTCGAACAGACAAACCCCTCACGCACGCTAACAGGGTCGGCGGATTTGGGTATTCATTCAAAGCAGTATATGCTCGCACGTCTGAGACATGTGCACCTATAGCCATCTGGATCGGTCTCTTTACACAGATGTGTACACACCTGCCCTGCGATTGCGATTGCTGCGTACAGGGTGGACTTTACATGTGCGCACAGCTGTATCTGCAGGCATATCTCTATGAATGCAGGGACGCGTGATCGCGCGCGGTGCGTGACTTCCAAGTGCCGATCCGCAGCGCAACAGCTGCGGCTCAACCGCAAGCTTGTGTTCAAGTCCTTCCCGAGCCTCTGCGGGCAGTCTCTCCCCCCCGCGCCGGCCCTCTGCGGCAGCTCCGGGTGCCCCGCAATGGCGCTCGAGGTGGGCGAGTGGACTTCAAGAGGAAAAGAAACACACAGACACAATTAATCCTCGATTTCCCAGAAAATATGGGAAAATATGGGAAGTGGGCGGGAAGACAGAAACCTAGAAAATATGGGAAAATATGCGGGATTATTTTATTTGTGTGTATTTATTTATGTGTCCTGGGGCCCCTTTAGGACTGACTGGGTGGTCGTTGGCTCGATCATGCTGTTCCAGTGGGTGCTCGAGTTCGTCGTGCTGACCCGGATGTTGAAGCTGCAGGTGGTTATCACGCTGGATGTTTTGGACAACATGTCTTCTGTCAACACGTGCAAGGAGAGCGTCCGAAACATATTCACCAACCTTGCCATCGTCGCCGCTTTGATCATGACGATTGCGTTCGCTATGCTCTTCTTGTACGACCACGTCGGAAACATTGCAGATAACGACGATGGTCAGCGTTTGACGGCTCATGCCTTTATCGCATTCACGGGGTATGCTTGCATTCAGTCAATGAGGGCCATGGTGGAAAGTGTCCTGAATATAGTCTACACAGAGATGCTCACCAGTCCCGAGATCGTTCGATTCTTAATTGCGGGATCGGGCGCAATCGGCGCCCCTGTCATAGCAACCGTGTTCAGCGTTGTCAGCATACTGTGTGCAAGCACCCTGTACATCTTGTCGATCTACAGCGTCGCTGCCTCCGTTCTCTTCGGCTGCCTGTCTTTATCTCGCCTGATCTCCATCGGCCAGTTCTGGCGCAAGCGCTCCAAGTTCACCACCAACCGATCCAGCAAGCACTCCAGCAACTGGTCGTGGGCCGAGGACCTGGAGGCAGCCCCGCCGTCGTCCATCGCAAAGAAGTGCAGCGAGAATGAGATCGCCATCATGCGCCGACATGCCCGCCAGGCGAAGGAGGAGGAGGAGGCGTCGGTGAAGGTGGCTGCCGTGGCTGCCCAGCCGCCGGAGCAGCCGAACTTTTCCGTCTGAGCCAGGAGCGAGGATTTGCGGCGAGCGAGGGGGGAAGTGAGAAGGAGAAGGCCTTCTCAGAGTGCTCGGAATTCCCCATGTCCTGTGGAAGTTTTCTAGGCCTTCCTCGAATACGCAGAAGACTTCTCAGGAGGCCAGAGGCCTTCCGAGAAGCCCTCGCCGCCCTCTGAGAAGGCCGTCTCCTCCTCGCCTCCCAGACATCGGGCCGCTCCAATCTTTTCGATGCGTGGGCCCCGGAGCTCTGGCCCACTTCCCCAGGGTCGGCTCCTCGTCCTGCGCCGTTGTTCACGGCCCCGAGGCCCTGAGAGGGCCCCCGGAGGTCCGAAAACGTCGGGGTCGGACAGACCTCCTACCCTGACACGTCGAGTAGCGAATTGGCCTTTTCGGTTCGCGAGAGGGCGTGGCGGCCGTGATTTTTGCGGGTCCAGGTCCGTCGTTTTCGGTTTGTGCACCGCCGAAACGGGCCTAAATTTGCCGCTCCCGTTTTCCTCAACCATCTTGTGGTGTCGGGTCTTCGTTTTGAGGAGACGGCGGCCCGCGTCCCACCTCCTCCTGTCCTCCTCCTCCCCCTCCTCCCTCCCTCCTCCTCCTCCTCCTCCTCCTCCTCCTCCTCCTCCTCCTCCTCCTCCTCCTCCTCCTCCTCCCCTCCTCTCCTCCTCCTCCTCCTCCTCCTCCTCCTCCTCCTCCTCCTCCTCCTCCTCCTCCTCCCCCTCCTCCTCCTCCTCCTCCTCTTCCTCCTCCTCCCTCCTCCTCCTCCTCCCTCCTCCTCCCCCTCCTCCTCCTATCCTCCTCCTCCTCCTCCTCCTCCTCCGCCTCCTCCTCCTCCTCTCCCGCTCCTCCTCCCCCTTCCTCCTCCATCCTCATCCTCATCATCATCATCATCATCATCATCATCATCATCATCATCATCATCATCATCATCATCATCATCATGATCATCATCATCACCATCATCATCATCATCAGCATCATCATCATGCTCATCATGCTCATCATGATCATCATGATCATCACCACCACCACCATCATCATCATCATCATCATCATCATCATCATCATGCTCATCATGATCATCATGATCATCACCACCACCATCATCATCATCACCACCATCATCATCATCAGCATCATCATCATCATCAGCATCAGCATCAGCATCAGCATCATCATCATCCCACGCGTTTGTGCCATCCACTACGGCACACCCCTCAAACGTTTTGTGGCCCCGTGGGGAGCTCCACGGGAGGCCCCAGTGCCAGGGTTCGCATGGCACCGTCGCCTCCATTTGGGCACAACCTTCACAAGGTTCGTGGCCTCATAGGAGGGCTCGTGGCTCCATAGGGAGCTCCACCGAAGGCCCCAGTGACAGGGTTTACATGCGTCCCCGCGACTCATTTCGGCACACCCCTCACACGGTTCGTGGCCCCATCGAGAGCTCCACTGAAGGCCCCAGTGGCAGGTTTTACATGCGTCCCCGCGACTCATTTAGGCACACACCTCACACGGTTCGTGGCCCCATCGGGAGCTCCACTGAAGGCCCCAGTGGCAGGTTTTACATGCGTCCCAACGGCTCATCTTGGCACACCCCTCACACGGTCCGTGGCCCCATAGGGAGCTCCACCGAAGGCCCCAGTGACAGGGTTTACATGCGTGCTCGCGATTCATTTCGGCACACCCCTCACACGATTCGTGGCCCCATAGTGAGCTCCACTGAAGGCCTCACTGGCAGGTTTACATGCGTCCCCGCGACTCATTTCGGCACACCCCTCACGGTTCGTGGCCCCATAAGGAGCTGCAGGGTTGACGTGCGTCCCCGCGATTCATATCGGCACACCCCTCATGTTGGCACATGTTTTTGCACCTTCTCCCTGTCTGTCTGTGTCGCTTGCACAGGCAATATTGCTTTGCACACTTACGTACGTGCCTTGTTGGACCACTGCTGACATGGCTCAAGGCTTCCTGGCTAAGAGTGAAACGTAGGTAGTGCAAGGCTTCGCGATTGTCCGCCCGACCCCCGCGTGCCAACAGTGGCAGCGGAGCGCGGTTCAGGGCCGCAGGCTGCAGCAACACCAGGTGTTCGCGGGCGCAGCCGGCGGGCCAGGCGATCCACGGACCTACGGGGATCGGACGGACGACAGGGGTGCGAAGTGTGACATTGACGGCAGGAGCTCATGTCAGAAGGACTTTCGGGACAAGATTTCGATTCGATAGCCAGTCGAGTGGTCGAGCTGCTGAGGGGCGACCAGAGCATGGCAACGTGCCCGGCGAGCGGAGCTGCAGAGGCTACAGGAGCATATTTCAAGGGAGTGCTGTGGGGCAGCAGCTGGACGCAGTGCGATCGATAGTGCACGGTTGCTTGCTGCGAAGACGGAGACGAACGTCATGGGGCGAAGGCACGCAGCGACGGTCATCGCAGACCACAGCAAGCATTATGAGACTATCCCTCTGGAGCAGGCTCGAGATAAACCTGTTCGGCTAGGAGCGGAGACGGCCCAGATAAAGATGGTCTTCAATATGTGGCAAGGTCCAAGAATTACCCGTCTGAGAATGCATCATGGGAGTCGCCCAAGGCATGCAGTTAATGGCCTGCCAGCTGGGGGCGGCTATGCGGATATCGTGATAGAAGCACACGCGGTGGAGGAGTACGATAGATCTGTTACGCTGTTTCCTTTGGCCAGGTTCTCGTCCTATACCGACGACGCGTCGCTAGGCGTGGAGAGCGAGTCCAAGGAAATGGTAGTAGAGGTAGCAGTCACAGCAGCTGAAGGTTTCCGCGGGACGGCACGCAGGCTGGGAGCGACTATCAATGATAAGTTAGCGCTGGTCAAAAGCTCTCAGGATATCAAGACGGAGATCGCGCATCGGCTTGATGTCAGCGCGAAGGTTAGCGTAAGATCCACGCCGTATTTGGGAACTGACTTTGCAGGAGGTCGGCCCAGGGAAGTACAAGCATAGGGCGCACCACTACTCACAGCGATTGAAGAAGCTGCAGAAGTTCAGGAGATGTACTCCGACAAAGGCATCGACGAGGACAGCAAGGGTGCATCAGACTGGGGCAAGACCAGCCTTGATGTATGGAGCAGAGGTCAACGGCGTCAGCGATAGTGAGCTCATAGCCCTGAGGAAGCAATACCAGGAGTACCAGAAGCCATCTCACGGTGGAGTCTCATCGGCTGCGAAGATGGTATTGCACGGAGATGCTGCGATCAGGGGCGCTTTCGCTCCAGCGACGCAATGGTGCATAATGTTCTTGCTATCCCAAGTCTTCCCTGTTCAGGAAATTGTTACGACGTCGCAGTTACTTGATTGGTGGCAAGCTGCAGTGAACGTCCCTGGTATAGTGGCGAAATGGTCTATGACACGCGGTCCACTGAAGCGGGCAGCCCTATCCATTGGACGTGCAGGTTGGCAGGCGCTCTCTGGTGACAGGTGGCTGGATCATAAAGGCGAGGTGGTGCAGGTGGACCAGCTAACCCCAGTCATGTTGCAGCGGCTATTGGAGGAAGGTTTATGCCGCCAGCATGAACTTCGTGTAGGTCAAGAGTGGTTTGATGGCCATCACGCTCGAGTACCCGTCGATCTCGCACGCCCCTTTACCAGGGCAGTGTCGAGGAAGCTCAATCAGCACCAGCAGTTTTGCATCATGAGCTGTATATGCGGTGGAGTGTGGACACGGCCCCGTGTGGGATGATGGATACGCTGGCGCACAGGCTGGCTGATTGCACGCTGGCGCCAGTCCAAGATGCGCGGCGCGAGGCAGCAGTGGGTGAGGGTTTCGGCGAAGTACCTGTGACTCGCCCGATGAGAAGACTCTACTCAGCGGCTGCTTCAAGTTCACCGACGCCGACATTCCGAAGATGAAGGCAGGTGCTCAGGCGTGCATACTGGGCACACATGGTCAAGAAGTGGACGCATCCCCTGAAACCCTGGTGGCGGACGCGGCCCCTGAGGACACCGAGTCCATTGAGATTGCCATCGACGGTTCATGCTCGACGCCTGGGCCCCTGGTCTTGCAGCGTGCTGGATGGGCAACCACCTTATCGTATCTTCAGTCCGATGTGCCACTGGGGAGTATGTTTGCCCCAGCCCCGTCGACGCTGCCCCAGACCTCGGCGATGGCGGAGTACATGGCTAATGCGTACATTGGACAAGTGGCTGACCGAAGATGCTGGGCGTATGCTGATTCCATGGGCATGGCGAAAGCGGCCGTCGCGTCGGACAACAGGCAGTTGGCGGTCAACTCTATGCGCAGCGGCGCGCTGCAGTTCGCGAAGGGTATGCTTGGGCAGTATCGCGTGGAAAAGGTGATTCGCATCAGCGCCCGCAGGTCTGGCGGGGACTATGAGAAGCTTGATGGCGCCGCGAGGAGGTTGACCGACGGCGACGCGATGGCTGATCACGTCGACAAGCAGGGCGCCAATCTGCACGAGGCTATCACCGATGATTTTGCCGAACGCATGAAGCAAGCTGAGGAAAGGTGTCTCAAGTTGGCCAAGCTGGCGGCGGGCGTTCCCCCCGCGCACGCGCAAGAGGCCCAGAGGTGGACGATGTCCCGGGCGAACAAGAAAGTGCGAAGCACCAGGTCGCAATGATAGCACCAGTGGGTTGACGCGCCTCTGGGCACCCAGCGCGCTCAATGCTTGCAGCACCGCGGCAAGGGCAACAGGATGTCATGGCTGATTGCCGCGGGCCGCGCTCCTCCTTCTTGATTGGTTTCTTACGAGAACCTCTTGGCCACAGGCTCGCAGCAGTGAGTCAGCGAGGTGATCTTACATCTGCAGTCGGAGGGGCGGTCTTTGCATGCGTTGGCCGCGGTGCGCGGGCATAGCAGCGCAGGGAGACTACGCTGAGATCCGCGTGCACCTGCCCCACGACAAAGGGAGCGGTGGTGCTGTGCAACCTGGGGCACGGCGTTGGGCCTCACCGCAAGCTCGCAAAGTACATCGGCGCAACCGCGCAGTTAGGTCCCGTGGCCAAGGGAGCGGGCGCAGCCATCAAGGAGAATACCTCAGTAGTGCGAGCGGTACCTGATGGCCCTTACGACTTTGAGACAAGGATGGACACGCTGGACGAACGGATCAAGAAGAAGGAAAAGGATCAGGAGCTACAGCGCGACGAGCAGAACACCTTCCTCGGCAAGAGTGCAGCGGCCGCGCTGGTTGCCGACGCACACCCCCAGATGGCCAGAGATGCGCTTCTTTTTTTTTTTGGGGGGGGCTGGGGGCATGTGCGAGCAGGAGTACAACATGATCGTCATTGGCAGTCAATGGAAGCGGAGGTCAAAAACATGGAGACCGACGCGGCGGGGGGGCACGCGTGGTGCTTCCAGGCGAAATAAATTGGGCGGGCCACCCCGCCGTTTGCGGAAGAAGTGCGGCGACCTGGGCTACGTACGCGGGGTTGTGGCGCAGGCTATTACGAACTCGGCATCGTTTTACCAATCGCCGAGAGCTCGTGATGATGGCCATCAATGTACTACTGAGACCAATGGCTGAGTTGATTATGAGGATGTTGCGTTGCGGGATGGCACTCAGCTCATCCGTGGGGGCGCAGATGTGGGTCATCGTGCTCATGAGCATCATCGCGCTGCTGATGAGAGCACTAGAACGCAAGCCCCAGCCCCCAGGTGCACCCACAGAGGTAAACAGCGCGTGGGGCTGGGCTCAGTCGCCTCTGTCTTTGCTGGAGCCTGCCCCCTGGTGCACCCGCGAGGTAAACAGCGCGCGGGGCAGGCCCGCCTCGAAGCATGCAACTGGAAGTGGTCAATGCATGGAGGTCGACATGGCTGGTGGCGCAAGTGGTGTTTTCAGGCAAAACAAACTGGCAGAGCCACCAAGCCGGCTGCGGGTGAAGTGCGGCGACCTAGACTATGTACACGGAGTGGTGCAGTCAAATATGACGGAGATTGCGCTGAGCTGATTCATAGAATGTGGAGCCGTGGGATGGCACCCAGCGTGGTCAGAGAGCAGCAGATGCGGCACGGGTTCTACGGGCAGCAGTTCGTCTATTTCGGCGAGCTGCCGTCGCTGCGCGAGGAGGACCTGAGCGGGGCGGCCGCGGCCTGCGGCCCCCCCCCTGTCGCCAGGTTGCAGGACCGCCGTCTCGGCGTTGCTCTTCTTTTTCTTCTTCTTCCTCCTCCTCCTCCTTCATCATGAACAGCATCTTCATCAGCACCATTACCCGCTGTCGCATGTGAGACTCCCCTGCGACGCCCGGCAAAGCAGTGCCATGGTACTGCTTTCCAGAATCGCCTCTTTGCTGGGCCATCGGACTATGGTTGGGTCATTCGCCAAGATAATTTTGCTGGAACGTCGGGTTCCTGTACCCTTCTCGCCCGGGCGTTGCTGAAGGCGTCCCCAGCCCAAGGTGCCCCCAGGATTTCCAAGAGGTCCCCCGCGGCCCCCAGAGCGCCCCATTACGAGGTCCAAGTGGCCTAGGGGATTCACGATGGAGCGACAAACTGGGGGCACCCTCCCTGGGCCAGTGGCACTTTTGGTGCCCCCCGATTCACGTGTTCTGCACGAGCGGAACGGGTACGGAAAAACCCGTACAATGCTCAAGAGCAGTTCGTGTTCATTTTGAAAAAAAAAGGTGTCGCTGTCCGCGCCGCCGCGGCTTGTGTCCATTCGAAACTGACGGCCGCCTGCCCAACAGCGGCCGCTGTTGGTTTGGGACAACATTTGTTGTTGGGCATTGTGCCCACTTTTTCCGTGCCCATTTCGGGCGTCGGGGAGGAGGAGGAGGTGGAGGAGGAGGAGGAGGAGGAGGAGGAGGAGGAGAGGAAACGGAGGAGGAGGAGGAGGAGGAGGAGGAGGAGGAGGAGGATTGCCCACCCCCTTTCGCTCGCCGCCGCGAGGAGGCGCTGGGGCTGGACCGCCCTGCCCGCGCAGGAGCGGAGCGGCGCCGGGCCCGCGCCCCCGCGCTGCCGCGGGCGGGCGGGCGCCGCGGGGCGAAGGGGCTCGGCGCCCCGGCCCCCCGCGGGGCGCCTCGGCGCTCGGGGGCCTCGAGACCAGGGCACCGGATCCTGCAGGATCCTATCTAAGACACATGTGTGCATCGAAGACACATCGGGGGCGGAAAAGAGGGGGGTGATGACTAGGGGGGGGTAGATATCATGGCGTCGGCCATGATATTTCCCCAGATTTCATGGCGCCTCTTTTTATTTCATTACGTCCCTGGCCCCCCCGTCGGGCCGCGCACATGCCGCCGGTCATGATTTGCACCCCCCCCTCTTGGACACCCCCCTCTTGGCCGCTCCCGAAGGGCACCGGATCCTGCAGGATCCTATCTAAGACACGTGTGTGCATCGAAGACACATCACTCGGGTCGGCCCACAAGGTCGTCCAGCAACGGGGGGGTGGTGCAAGAGAATTGGTGCACTGGATCTGTGGGGTTGCCATACGCTTGGGGCGTGCCTTACACTCCGGGGCGCAAGCGTATTGCTGTATTTTTCGCGTGCGGCACACGAAGTGCAATACACTGCAATACAATTCTCCGGCGAGACGGGGGTCAATGCAAACGGGGCTCAGCCAGGGCACCTGGTCCTGCAGGATCCTGCGAAGACCCCTTCAGGCTGACCAGGGTTAGCCAGCCGCTCGTGGCCGCGAGGCGGCCGTGCATATTGGCTGACCCGGGTTTGCGAAGACCTGCGTTGCAGTTTTTTTTTGTTTCCTGCATTGCAGTTTTTGGTTTCCTGCTGACCCGGGTCTGGATTGACCCGGGTCAGAAGATCCCTGGCGGGGCTCCCTGAATCCGCCATTCAATTTCAAGGGCTCCCACGATCAAGCATTGGCGAAGCGTCCTGGCTCGCCCATAGCCCTACCAGACAATGTTTGTACGACCTTTTCTGTGGTTTCCAGGAAAGGTTCTTGGAACATTTCAGGCGGAGTTTGTCTTGTTTTGCAGCATCGGGTTGATGTTCTAAGAACATTGCTTTTGTTCTTGGAACATTTCTCTAAGAACATTTCGTGGTAGGACTATAGAATTGCCGGGACGGTCGGTCTCTGCTCAACACGAGGGCGCGAAGTTATTCGCGCTTCGCGGTCCTCGTTCCTTCTCCCCCTCCTCCTCGTTCTCTTTTCTCCCTCTGGGGGCGGCGCGAGAGCGCGAAGTTGTTCGCGCTTCGCGGAACGCGAAGCGCGAAGTTAGGAGCCCTAGTAAATTCATGATGTTCCAACCTGTTTTAGCCTTGATCACCAAATAAATGTCGAGCACCAAGGGAATTCCGAAACTGGAGGCTTTCACGTGTCACGCCGTTTCGAGACTTCTCCGGGTGTTCGAAATTGTTTCTGGGGTCTGGTCCTTAACCACGATGGGAAGAATAGAGCACGAAACCTTGCGGCCTCCGAGATGGGGTCTGAGTGGATTTAAGTCGGGCATGTCCCTGCACAGGGGGATGATTCAAGGATAGTCAGAAAATAACATGTAGATGATTTCCTGTGTATTGTATTTTGCACATTCTTGACTATGGCATCTGTTTCTTCCATAATCCGCTTGTAGGAGGGCATGCCCGACCTAATTCTAGGCCTCCTTGATGGGGCCTGAGTAATTGAATAGGGCCGGAGGATCGCGCCGCATCGCCGATGCATCGCCGAGGCGGCTCGATGTGGGGCTCGCTTATCTCCACGCCGACGTCGCCGATGCATCGCCGACGTCGACGATGTATCGCCGGTGCATCCCCGATGCATCGCTTATTACGCATCGGCGATGCGGCGCGATCCCCCGACCACATCTACTCCGACCCCATCTGCGAGGCTTCTAAACAATACAGTGCGGGCGCGGTCGCAAGAAGCCCTTGCAAGAAGTCCAACCCTGAAAACCCGCGCGCGGGGTGTCTGAAGGGAAACCCTGATGCCGCGGAAAGTCACCGCGCAGCGCTCGAGACGAAGAAACCCAGGGTACCTTGGCGAAGAACATTCGGTTTCTTGATGCGCGCCCCCACTGTACATACACAGGCGCCCTCAACAGACGCCTTCCAATGGATCATTCCTGGGCTTCAGGGGAGGATAGTGGCGTTCAAATCACCACTGGGGAGCTAGTGGTTTGTATGTATGTAGGTACGTACGTCCTCACGTACGTACGTACGCATGATAGTTTGTGTATGCATGTATGTATGTGTACGTGTGCATGTGTGTATATGTGCTTTGCTTATGTGTCTACATATGTAATTGCAGATTCTATTATATTGGTATGTGTATGTTCGTACAACACAGGTGTATGAGAATTTGTATGCACATATGGATGTGCATATGTAGATGTACATGTATATGTATGTGTGGATGCATATGCATATGTATGTGTGCTTGCAAATGTACTTGATTCCATATTTATATAGATGTGCATGGTGTGTATAGGTATTCGCATACGTATGGGCATACGTATATGTAGTTGCAAATGCATATGTATGTGCACATGCAGTTGCAATTAAAACTGTAACTATAGTTGTATATGACCTGTGTTTGTATGCGTATGTGTTTACGTATATGCAACCCTGTTTGTTGTATCTGTATATGATAATGTGAGTGCATATTACATGTGTACGTATGTGTACAGTTATAGGTATGTGTAAATGGTTATGGTTGTGTATTTGTGCACATATATGCATGTATGTAAATGTATTTGTGTGTGCGTTTCGTTACATAGATGTTTGAATGTATGTATGTCTGTACGTGTATATATGAATATATGCATGCATGCATGCATACACGCATGCATGCATGTATGTATGCATGTACGTACTTTCTCACGTGCGTACGTATGAATGTATGTATGTATGTATGTGTATATTTGTGTGTACGTGTGTGCGTTTGTATATGTATGTATGTATATTATTTGTGTCTGGTCTTACATATGTATTTGCATCGGTGTATGTCTATTGATACGTGTACGTTTGTGCAACACAGACAGGTATGACTGTTTTATGTGCATATGCATGTGTATATGTAAATGTGCAGGTAAATGTATGTGTACATGCATATGTCCATGTATGTGTACATGTATATGTGTATGTTTAGGTACATGTGTAGGTATATATATGTATATATATGGTGTGTACATGTATACGCATACGTATGTACATACGTATGTGTATATATATACACAAGCAAACAAGTTGTACATGTAGCTGTAAATAATACTGTAACACTAGTTCTACATATACATGTGTATGAAAGGATGTGTCGTTGTACAGGTACATGTAACCGTGTACGTGTATGTGTACTAAGATGTATTTGTACAGTAGATGTCTATGTATATCTACAGTCGCATGTCTTCGTGCATGTTTATGGCTATGATCTTATATGTATGCATATATGTGTGTACGTGCACGTGAGTCGTTGTATACATGTATGTGTATATATGTATGTATGCATGCATGCATGCATGCATGTAGGTATGCAGGTATGTATGTGTGTATGCATGTACGAATGTATGCCTATATGCAGGTATGTATGTATGTACGTATGTATGCATGTACGTATGTTTGTGTGTATGTGTGAAAGTATGTATGTATGTATGAATGAATGAATGAATGAATGAATGTATGTATATAGGTAGGTAGGCAGGCAGGTAGGTAGGTAGGTAGGTATGTAGGTGTATACATACATATATATATATATATATATATATATATATATGTCGGAGTAGGCCGGGTGGGGGGAGCCGCTGCCTGTACCCCCCATGGGCGTCCCCCAGGGGTTTTTGGGGGGGGCCAGAGCTCCCGAGACGGCCCGGGCCCGCCCCGAAACATGCCACGACAGGCTAATGGGGTACCAAGAGGGCCCAAGACAGTCCCAAGAGGCCCCGACGACGCCCAAGATGCCCTCAAGACGGCCGACCGCTTCCCGGCGCTCCCGAGACGGCCTCGGAGGCCCTTCAGATCGCGCCAAGACGCCCCACGAGGCCCCGAAGAGGGCCCCAAGACGGCCCAGGAGGCTCCCCAGACAACTCAAGTGTGTCCCAAGAGCGAAATGGAAGGGGGCCCAGCGGGGGACCGCGAATCGATATTTCTAGGTTTTTGGCCCTAGAGTCGACTGAACGTAAGAGTGACCTTCCGCCGGAGTGACCTTTGGTGCGGGCCCATTAGGGTCCCCGATCGCTGAACGCGAGGCGGCAGTGGCGTCTTGCGCGCTCGTGTTTGGCCTCCCCGCGGCCCCCCCAAAAAGCCGCGCACCAAAGGTCACTCTTACCCAGGGTCACTCCTGCGTGTACTCCAGATCTCGTAATAAAAGGGAGGGGTCTGGGCCCTCCCAGACAAGCCATTTCAGACCCCCCCCCCGTGGGAGAACCCTCCGAAACATCGTCCCCAGACCCCCCCAGGCCCTCCAGGATAGCCTGGAAGAAGAGACCCCCCCCCCGAAATGAGACCCCCCTCCCTTTATTACGAAATCTGGAGTATGGGTTGTGAGGATTACCTTACCGGCAAACGTGGGGTGAGGAGGAGAAGAAGAAGAAGAAGGAGGAGGAGATGGAGAAGGAGGAGGAGGAGGGGGAGGAGGAGGGAGGAAATGGAGGAGGAGATGGAGGAGGAGGAGGAGGAGGAGGAGGAGGAGGAGGAGTCGCCGATAGAGGCCCCCAGTAGGCCCCCGGAGGTAGGCCCCCGCCGGGAGGCTCCCACGAGGCGCCGCGGGGTTGCGCCCAGGAGGCCCCCCTCGGAAGCCCCAGGAGGCCCCCCAACGGGGCCTCGAGGGATCGCCCAAGAGACCCCCCCCACGCTCGGGGGCGGAGGAGGAGGAGGAGGAGGAGGAGGAGGAGGAGGAGGAGGGGAGGAGGAGGAGGAGGAGGAGGAGGAGGAGGAGGAGGAGGGAGGAGGAGGAGGAGGAGGAGGAGGGGGGGTGATGACTGGGGGGGGGGGGGATATCATGGCGTGGGCCATGATATTTCTCCAGATTTCATGGCGCCTCTTCTTATTCATTACGTCCCTGGCCCCCCCGCTGGGCCGCGCACATGCCGCCGGTCATGATTTGCACCCCCTCCTCTTGGACACCCCCCTCTTGGCCGCTCCCGACACACACACACACACACACACACCAACAACTCATGCCCCCAGCAAGACTTCTGGGGACATGATTCATCATGGGCTTCTGTCGGGCCTGTCCCCCCTGCAGGGGGATTCTCGACGAAGAACATAAAAAATACCTCCAAAATACTTCCAAACAGGTCAAACATGCTAAACAAATAGTCCCCTGTTTTTTTTTTGCTTATTTTTGGATTATTTTTGTCCTATTTTTTGTTTTTCGTCGAAAATCCCCCTGTAGGGCGCCAGGCCCGACTTAACCCAAGAGGCCCCCCAACACACCCCAACAAATCATGTCCCCAGAAAGACTGCTGGGGACATGGTTCATCATGGGCCCGAGAGTCTCCGGAGGCTCCGACGCACCATCACGCTACTGGAGAGTTGTCTGGGAAGTTAACTGGGAACATGACTGATCGCCTTCTCGCGGCCCTCCGCGGATCGTTTCACACAAAATCGCCCCAAGTGCCCTCGTGAACCGACGACGACGACGAAGACGACAAAACGACGACGACGAGGACGAGGACGAAGACGACGACGGCGGCGCGCCCCCCAAGAGGCGACGACGACATTACGACATCGACGGCACGCCCCAACAGTCTCTCTTAGACGCCCCAAAATTCACGTGTTCCCAGGAGGCCTTCTGGGAGCCCAATCAATCGAGCCTCAGCCCCCCTCCCTTCGCAACCATCTTCCCCGAGAGCCTTCCGGAATGCGGATTGCAATGCATGGACTTCTCACTGCCAATAACGCGTTCGGCGTCATGGACACGTCTTCACTTCCAGTTCAAACCATGTGTGGTCCACTACTTCAGCGGAGCAGTGAACTCGTCGAGGCCTGGGGCCTGCTAGAACCTGGGCGCGCGCAGCGCGCGCGATTGTTCCGGTATTCATATCTGTATGATTGTGTATATGTATGTGTATGGTTGTATGTGTGTATGTGTGCATGTGTATGTGTGTATGTGTGTATGTGTGTATGTGTGTATGTGTGTATGTGTATGTGTATGTTTACGTGTCCGTGTACGCGTACGTGTACGTGTATGCGTGTGCATGTGCATGTGCATGTGCATGTGTGTGAGAGTATGTATGCACGCATGCATGTGCTTATGTTTGTTTATATATGTATGTCATACATGCAACTCATAATGCATATCTATGTATGTGTTGACAGATACCCAGACATGCGACGTCCTGCTTTCTTCAGAACGGCGTCCCTGGAGTTCCCGACCCTTTTCCCAGGACTGGTTTTTCATCTTGAGTCGTTTTTGTTGACGGTCCTGAGGCCCGGCGAGGGCCCCCCCAGGCCGAAAGTTGCCAAATACCTCCTGTCCTGATTTTTTTTTGTACGACGCGATCATGTCTGAGTAGATATATAGATTGTCGGGCGGACGAAAGGGGGGGGACAGGGAAAGGGGGTTACGAAATTTTCTGCATGCAGCTGGTTTCGGCCCCACCGAGGGGCCCATTCTTCGATACATAGCCGCCTCCGGCGCCAGGAGGCGCCGGGAGAATCAGCTGCGTGAGCTGATTCTCAAACTCCCCCTTTGCTATCCCCCCTTTCGCCCGGCCCGAGAGTCGTGTTGGCGTGGCCCGTGCAGGATGGGCGCTCGTGCAGGCGGAAAGATTTGGTGGGGCGCAGCTGGCGGCCTACGGGCCTATACGAGCTCGGATCCCGCCAGGCATCCAGGGACCAGGAAGATCACCCCATCAGACATTCAGGAGGAGAGAAAACACACACACAGACACAATGAATCGTCGATTCCCAGACCCTTTGCTATGCCCCCTGTTCTGGACGCCCGAAGTGGGCACGGAAAGAATGGGTACAATGCCCAACAACAAATGTTGTCCCAAATCAACAGCTGCCGCTGTTGGGCAGGCGGCCTTCTGTCTCGAATGGACACAGGCCGCGGCGGCGTGGACAGCGAATCCTGTCCAGAATGGACAGGAACTACTGTTGGGCATCGTACCCATTCGGGCCCATTTCGCGCGTCCAGACCTTCCGCCCGGCCCGAGATACCCAGACCCCCGACGTCATGATTTTTTCACGACGTCGACCCCCAGAAGTCTTGACCCATTCCCCGGGACCGGTTTTTCGTCCTGAGCCGTTTTCTGACGGCCCCGAGGGCCGGCAAGGGCCCCCAGAGCCCAGAGATAAGGACCCCCCCCCCCTGTCGTGATTTTCTCTTGACTCGAGGGGGTCTGGGTAGATATAAAACAGGGCTAGGATCGGGATAAATCGCTCCAGAGCGTTCCAGAGCGCTCTCAGAGCGCTCCGGAACGCTCTGGAGCGGCCGCGGCGCCCAACACGTCCTCCAAACCCGCCGATCCTCAGAGATCTCGAGTCATCCCGATCCGATTTTGTCCCGATCAATTCGCGTCGTTTTAAGATAGACCGATCGCTTCCCGGCGTGCTGACGCGCTGCCCCCCGCGCCGGCGGCCCCGGCCGAGGGCGCGCGCTCCGCCGGAGGCCGGCCGCGCGCCGGGCGGCTCGGCCCGTGGCCCGCCCCCCGGGGGGGGCTCCCGCGGAGGCCTGTCGCCGGGGCGGCCTGGGGCTCGAGCATGGAGCGGAGCTCGGGGGGAGGGGGAGGAGGGGGAGTTGGAGGAGGATGAGAGGAGGGATGGGGGGGTGTGGGGGGGGGAGGGAGGAGGAGGGAGGGGGAGGAGGAGGAAGGGAGGAGGGGTGTGGGGGGGGGGTGAGGAGTATGAGGGGGATGGGGGGGGATGTTGGGGGCGGGGAGGGTAGAGGTAAGGTGGAAGGGGGGTGGGATATGGGGGGAAGAGGGGAGGAGGAGGAGGGGATGGAGGGAGGGGAGTAGAGTGTAGGGGGAGGGGGGGGGGGATGAGGAGGAGGGGTAGAGGGGTGGATTGGGATGAGGAGGTCGTAAGAGGAGGAGATGATGAGTAAAGGCTCAGAGTCAAGCGGAGCTCGGGAGGGGCGGAGGGGGAGGAAGAGGAGGAGGGTGTGCGGAGAAGGAGAAGGAGGAGAGGGAGGAGGGATGCCGGGAGGAGGGGATCCTCCTCCTGCTCCTGCTCCTCCACCTCCTCCTCCTCTTATCTTCCTCCTCCTCCTCCTCTTCCTCCTCCTCCTCCTCCTCTTCCGCCCTCCTCCTCCTCCTCCTCCTCCTCTCAACCTGCCGACGCTGTGTTGACCAGCGCGTCCTGGATTTTGACGGTTCAGTTTCCGTGGTATGTCTGCAGCAGGAGCTCGCGTCAGATTTCGCATTGGGCCTCGTCCTTTTTATGATGGCCCCGTCGGGCCAACCCGAGTCCCCCATACCCGAGTCGTACGTCTCCCCAGTCTCGGCGCGTCGGGCGCGCACACGTTGGATCGGGCAGGTGGCAATGGCGATCGTTTTCTTATTCCCAAACTCCCTCGCATTTTTTGAGGCCGAGGCAGGCTGAGGCCGAGGCAGGCTGAGGCTGAGGCCGAGGCAAGCCGAGGCAGGCTGAGGCTGCGACTGCGAGAACAGCAGAATTCTACAACTGGATTCTCACCTACATCTTAAGTGGAATGCTTCCAGATATGCTTCTTCACATCGCTGTTAGGTTGCTTTGCCGGGATAATTTGAATCAACAGTTTGAGAAAATAAGATATTTAAAAACAAGGAGTTGGGCAATTTTCGGCCTCGGGGGGCCCTGGCTGCGGGGGAAGTGGGGGGGAAGACAGAAACCCAGAAAATATGGGAAAATATGTGGAATCTGTTTATTTGTGTGTATTTATTTGGTGTGTTTGTGGGCCCCTTCACAGTTGGAGAAAATAAGCACGGATTTGGGCAATGTTCGGCCTCGGGGGGCCCTGGCTGCGCCTCGGGGCCTTCGGAAAAACCGATCCGGGACGAACAGCCAGTCCCGGGGAAGGGGGTCCAGACCTCTGGGGGTCGACGCTGCGAACAAAATCACGACGTCGAGGGTCTGGCCATTCGCAGGCCTAGAGATTGACACCAACACCAAGATCGGCGGTGTGCCTCCACCGAGGGAAGACGATCCCGATCTCGGTGATGGTGGTAATATTTTGGTTTCCAAGGTGATCGAAATATTACCACCAACACCGAAATCTAAGATCATCATCTCCCTGTGGAGGAAAACCCCTGTGTTGGTGTTGGTGCCAATTTCCAGGCCTCCAATCTGGGTTCACAGCTTTGCCGATCGGCGCGGGTCCTCGCAACCTCCTCTGCCCCCCCCCAATGGAGTAGGAGACTTTTTTTAGGATCCGGCGATGCCCCGGGTCATCGGGCTTGCCCCCCCCACCCGCCCACCCCCACACACAGGATAGCCTAACCCTGCCGGTTGTGCAGGTCCAGGGTGGGGTGGGGGGGGGGGCGCGGGCATATGCAGGGCTGCCCCCGGCGCGTCGGCGGGCCTCCCCCCTCCTCCCCCCCCCGGATAGCCCGGGTTATCGCCGATTTCCCCAAAAAACGGTTTCTGGATCTCTGTTGTTGTTGGCGCCTTTTTCGAGCAGGTGGGGTATCCCCCATGGGAAGCACGGTTCCAAGCAGTCGCACTGAGCAGAGGTCCAGAGCCAGCCCCCCCCCCCTCCCCCCCACTTTCCCCCCCTATGTCGAAACGCCGCATAAGGGATCAGGAGGGGAAAAACACACAGACACAGTGAATCCCCGATACTCCAGAAAATATGGGGAAACATGGGAAGCGATGTGGGAAGACAAAAACCCAGAACATAGGAGAGAATCTTTAGGGAATCGTTTTATTTGTGTGTATTTGTTTGTGTGTCCCAGGCCCCCTTCAAAGGAAGAAGGAAACGTTCACATGGGGAGTGACATGGAGTCGAAGAAGAAAACCCGGCACAAACATAAACGTGTGGCGCTCCGCGCGGATTCCTTGAATCCGCGCGCGGA